AAAATCCCAGTTTGGCTTCAATATTCATCTTGCTCAAGAAATGGGGCCCCTCATCTTTGCAAAAACCAGCCAGATGGTTCTCTCTGTTGGCTTTCCTGAAAAAAGAGCTGTTGGAAAGCAGTTTTCAGCTCCAGAATCTGTTCTGGGCAGAGGGGATTTTAATGAAGTAACATGAATTATCTTATTCTAGTTGGTTGAGTTCCCTGTTCAAGGTGTTCCCTTTTCTCCCAGTGCCTTCTCTAAAACCTGGCTCAGCACCCAGCTTGGCAGGGCTTCTTGCTGCTCCTCAGCCCCACATTCCTTAGATGACCTCAGAAAGCCCTCTCAGCATTGGGTTGGGTCTCCTGGGCTTCAGAGTAAAATATCCAGATCAGATGTTTTACAAGCAGATGAAGTGCAGAAGGGGGGGTGTGGTGGTGCAGATGACCTCCCCAAATCATGATGTTCCTGCTCCCTGTGACAACGAGGTACTTATGCAAACTAGTCCGTAGGATGATAAACTCCTGCTCTTGTCATTAATCTCATCCCACCAACCCTGAAAGAAAGTGATGCTGTGGTTATAGGTACCTATTCCAGACTCTCCCCTGATTTCCTCCTCCATACTGGGAGCCCCAGACCAAGCTGTACCTCAGAAAAACAAGCATCCAAGATTCTTCCTCTTCAAGCTGTGGTCTAGATCCTGCTCCCAGTCTGCTTTCCAGAGCATTAACTGTGTCCAAACAAGTTAAAATAATTGGTGAAAATCACACTTGCTGCAACAGCTTTCAGTGTAGTCACTTTGCTCTATCAAGTAAGATCTGATTAATCTAAAATAGGTCAGAGAAACACAACCCCTCCTTCAAGCATCCCCACTCATTTCTAATATCACTGCAAGGGGCATTGAAACAGCAAGTCAAGGAGAACCGAGTAATTAATTAAGGTTTTATTTAAGGTTTCAATTTTATTTTTAAAGTGGCTGAGCTGACCTGGCACATTAAACAAACCCAGCAGTACAGGAGAGTTACGCCAAGACAGCATGAAGAGAAATACATTATCCAGCAGATTTTAAAACTGCAACAGCCCCTTATTTCCAGATGGGACACGACACAAAGACATCTACCAACAGCAGAAAGCTGCAGTCAGAGCAAAAAGCCTTCTTTACAAACACAAGACCAAAGCTGGGCAGCTGCTGACATGATCCCAAAGCAGTGCTGATCTCAAAAAGACACTGCGCCGATGCTGCAAGGCAGAAGGGAACAAGCTGATTGTCATCCACAGAAGCCTGAATTAAATTCATTTCTGCCACTTCACATACCCATGAAATCTGGCCTCTCTCTTCAGTTCCTTGGCACATCAAGGCCATCTCTTCCATTCTACCTCCCACTTTTCCTTTTCAGCTGAATTTTGTCAGGCTGTGACTCAGAGCCATGTTGCTGCTCCTGTCTCCACTTCCAGTATCTTTTCCTTTCCTAGGCTCCTTTCTGCTCTCCTCCTTCAGAGACACTGCTGACTTGAGATGCAGCAGGCTGCTGTGGCACTCCTTGAATTTCCTCAGCAATTGTGTAACTGAAGTTTTAAACCTTGCTTCATCCTACCCCTTGGGTCAACTCTATCTGCTTCCCACTGCTCCCTGCAGGTTCCATTTTGGCAGCAAGTTTCTGTCCAGCTCTCATCTGTATTGCAGTTCTGTTATTGTGGACCATTCCCTGTCAAAGCTGGCAGCTGCTTCCCCAAGATCCCATCTTTGCCACTGTGAGTTGTCATTAGCAACAAACTATGAGATCCTAGAGCATTCATTATGCATACACTTCATCCAGTTGGGCTTTCAACCCCAAAATACATCTACAGGCTCTCTCAGTTGAAATAAGAAGTCATTAAAAAGTTTCTTTTTTTGGTGGGAAGATGAATGGAGAATGGCTTCACTTTTAACAATTTTAACATTGAAGATGTTGCCATTCACCATACATATGGACTATGCAAGCTCTGTATTAGGAATGGGGATTAAACAAATATTATTCTTGGAAACTGGTCAGGACCAATTTTGCTGTCAGCCAAGGAGTGCAGGTTCTAAGGAAGCAAGTACCTACTAGAGACCATTGCAATCCATTCTTGCACAGTACCCTGCTGCAAATGTGCCCTACTTACACCAACCCGCCGCATTTTGAGAGACAGATGGATTAGGATACTAACAGAGATCTCAGCTAAGAAGAGACAGGCTTTTACGCACCTCACATTCCTAACCAGGCCACATTCTCAGGACTTTTTCAAAACCAACCCCTAAAAAGAGGCATCAAGTTGGCAACAAAACACTGCAGCAGCTGCTTTGCAAAACAGTGGCTTTTGTGGCGATGGTGTTCACCCCCCAAGCTTCTTCTCGAGCCCTAACCAGATACTTTAAGTCAAGTAAGTGTCTCCATGGAAACCTCCTTTCTCAAGGAGCCTCCTTGCTGGAGAAATCCCTGCACCCCTTTTGTTTAGAAGGGGAAGGCAGTGTGGTAGGAGCATAATGCTGGTCTAGTGAAGAGCCTGTAACGACTCATCAGTCAGATTTATGTCCTTTGAAAACACATCCATTCAATGAAGACATTTTAGGGATGGCTAAAGGTGTGCTATTGCTGCTGCAACTAGCTAGTTCTGCTGTCCTCTCCATCCCTGCCCCACCTCTTCACTCTCAGCCCCACTGAATCATACAATATCCTGAGTTGAAAGGGACCCACAAGGATCATTGAGTCCAGCTCCTGGCCCTGCACAGGACATCTCCAAGAATCACACCATGTGCCTGAGAGCGTTGTCCAAATAATCTGCCTTCTTCCCACATAGTCTCCATACCCTCCTCACACACAAACTCTTGGCCCCAAGCGAACTCCAAATCAGCTGTTTGTTTAAAAAAAAACACCCTAAAGCTGAAGTAATAAAAATCAATGCCCATTTTTGAAATACAGGAAGTCTTATTGAAGCTACCAATTGATACTTAAATAAGACAATCACTGTATTTAGGAAAAGAGGATGAGTTTTAGCCTTTCCCTTCACCAAGCCCTTTGTAAACTGTAGAATGTGAAATCATTTCTGGTGTAGGATTGCTTGAGATCCCTCAAAAAGGAAACCAGTTTTCCAAAAGGACACTCAGATAACTGAATATTTAATGTTCTAATAGAGGAGAGAGACTTCAATATTAGCAGGCAAATAAATAATTAAGGGCTGTGATTAAAAATGGTTTCAACTCAGGTGAATCAGTTAATAAAGAAAGGGGGTAAAAAAAAATCCAGCAAAGGCACCAAAGAAGTTGTGCAGCTGGAGTTGCTTTCAAATAACAGCAGAGACAAGATATTTTCAGAAAAATAAGCCCCAGAGGTTAACTTCTAAGTCAGAGAGTTGCTATTTAAGAGCCCTCTGTAGAAAGGAACATGCCATAGGGGACTCTGAAAGCTAACACAGGTGCTGGTGCCAAGCGACTCACAGGGAAAGGGAAAGGGAAGGAAAGGATGCATTTCAGAACAAATAGAAAAAATAATCCCATTCTCCTAAGATTAAGGTAGCTAGAAAATTTTTTTAAGATTTTCTGAGAACAAAACATGATGTGTCTGGTAACTGGAAACTAGGTCCAGGCACACTGTAGCAATCGCCTCCTCTTCCCACCTACCCACCCATCATGACTGGGAAAAAACTGCCTGGGACAAGATGACACACATGCATGGCCATCACACTCTTGCAGCTTCCCAGTGGAGAAAGAAAGGCTTTAAGCAACCCCTTTCTCAAGCAGCTAACAGAAACGAGGCAGGACCGATTCAACGTGGAAGTCAACAAGACAGAAGCACATCACCAGTGTAAGAAGCATTCGCGTGGATCCCTTTCCATTGTGCAATAGAGAATCCAGAGGATTATTAAAACACACACAAATAACCTCCTCTACCTTTAGGGAAATTTAGCAGAAATCTCACTGCAGAAATATAAGCTCCAGTGCATGCTTGCAGGTGGGGCACATGGGCATTAAGTTCTCAACTCAATGGGATGCAGAGGATGGAGTAGAGAAGGGAATTAAAGAGAAATCAGAGAAATTAAACACATTGTGGATCAAATTTAACCAAATGCTATCAGAAAAAAAGTCATTTGCCAAATTTGTAGGACCAGTCCTATGCGATTTTATAGCAAGAGATATCTAGCCACTTATTCTTTTCTTCCCACATATGCCATCTTGAGTCTTCCAGAGGAAATATAATAATAAGGTAATAATAAGGGAATAATAATTCCCTTATCAAAGGGAATTATTTAAGGGTAATAGCATTCCTTCTGCAATCTCCACCTAAGCTCCAATCAGTCAAGCTCTTCCATACATCATATCCCTCTCCAGGTTGGCAGTTCTAGTGTTTTGTCAGAAGAATGCATCCTTGGATACAAGCTTTGTGAGAGGAAACTTACTATTACAGGGAGACAAAATACATATACACAAAAGGGAGAGAGGCTGCAGATTGGGGCAAGACTTCGCGCTTCAGCCTCATGTCAAACAGTAACCACTTTGCAGCACAAAGCAGAAGGCCCCTCAGAAGCAAAAGAGCTCACAGACTACCTACACCGAGTAAAGATGATGTAAGAGCTGTCATGTACAGTGGAGCCAATAGGAAAAATATATTTAATTAAACCCCAGGTGCAGGGAGGAAAGGGCTGAGACAGCAGCAGGTCTCAGCAAGAAGAAGGAATGAATTTTTGTGCAACACAAGTGCTTTGGAAAGAGATGAGACGTTACTCCAGAATAGTTTAAACTCACCCCATGCGTGACCAAAGCAGCACATAGAAAGCAGGTTCCCCAGTTATAATACACATTTTTTTAATCCCTTTTTTCTATGTGTAAAGTTACTCCCTCGGGAGCCACTTGCTATTCCAAAAGACTACAGAAGATGGGGTAAGAAACAAGGTTCTATTACTTCATCCAAAACATTCAAGCGCCCGTTGACCGTACAAGCAACAGCCCCTCCAACAGACTTGCCTGGTGACAAGGAATTCTCCAGTTCTCTCCCAGCCCCAAGTTAAGAAACACAGCAGTCGTTTTATTAAAATTCAGTACATAGTCGAACATAAGCCCAGTGTTTACAACCAATCCCTCTTCTAGTAGTTCCAGGTTTCCTGGTATTTTTACAAACTATTAGCAACCAAAGGTATCAGTAGCATAAAGAAACCATCGTTTTAAAAAAATTCATGTCCCCACATCTCCAAGAAGAAAGCAGCTTCTATGATGAGTTTGTTTCCCATTGGACTTGCTCTAAGAAACAAGAGTTTTCAACATATTTTGCAGGCCAATCTTATCTTTAGAACAGTAATTGCTCGGTTCACTTTAGCATACAGGGCAAGGGTCTCTAAAAAACCTCACAGCACAATAAAATAACCTCAAAAGAGCTCTCTGTCAATTTTTTTTCCTGTGATTTACCTTCTAAAACAGAAATTTCTGAGATGTGTAATTAGCTGAGTTGACACTAAAGAGGAAGTGGGGGGGGAGCCCAATTCACACAAATTGGCAAAGAGATCATCCATGAATTAAGTTCTCCAATGGCTGCAGAAAGTACACAGAGGCTTTGTCCATGCTCCCTTGAAACATCCAGCAGTGCTGCAAGAGAGATACACCTTCACATCCCTGTTCCCCTCTCAGTTGTTACAGCTGTTCACATTGCTGCTGCCTGCTTCCTTCCCTCCTCAAGTCATCCAAAGCACAGAGCAGCCTTGGTGGTGTAATAGCAGCTTGGCAGAAGCAGGAAAAGTGCAGCCAGCAAAAGATTTAATTTATTAAGATAAACATGGTCTAAGGCTCCACATTATTTTTAAAAATAAACACAATAAGAAATATGAAAACAAACTGGCTTCACTATGTGTAGGTCATGTTCAGACATTCTCAGAAAGATCTTCTCAACCATACAAAATATTCTTCCCCTCCCATCCCCATCACGAGGATGGAAAGACAGTTCACTACGTAAGATCAGCCATGTCCCTCTTGTGTGCCCTTTCACATTCAGTGAACAATACCTCTGCCACCCTTCAGGGCAGTCAAAGTTTTAAGAACACTCCTGTGAAGAAGGAGCAGAAGGGGAGAGGGGCAGGTAATTCAGTCTCTGAAATGAGCATCTAAAAGTCTTGACACGATGACTGTGTTGACTTCACCACTTTAATGGTTGTTCTTGGCTGCCTCTTTAGCTGCAATAATCAGAGGAGTGAGACTAGATAGAGGCTTTGCAATTTTCAGGAACTGATGCTAGGAAGAAACAAAAAGAAAAGGGGTTAAATTTTTAAGAACATGCCCCAGAAGCCTTGCAGCTGTTCTAAACCTAGACCCATATGAAGTCTAAGAACCTACTTCAGTCTCTGAATAGGTGAAACCAGAAGCTCTGTTACCACCACAAAATTTCAGGGCTTGCCTGAAGCGATGAAGAGATTTGCACCCAACACATGCTAAATTATCCAATGTTTGTACATGTTCAAGATCAAGCAAAACTCAGCATCACCTAAGGCAATGTGCTTCAGAGATGGAAAAAATAAAACAGTAAAAAAACAGAGGTTGCAAGGTATTTAAAAACAGGCAGAAGTGTTGCAGTCAAAATGTTCTCCTGCTCCAAGGAACAGGACATAACCGATCTCTCACATTTTAGGACTGGAAAGTCAATGAGAAAAAGTGATCTTTCAACTATTGCCATTCTGCCAGTCAGTAAAGTTACTTGCACCAGGAGTTCAGACTAAGACACCAGGTTTTCAGTGAAATATCTGATTATAAGGCGGTGAGGCACTGGAACAGGTTGCTCAGAGAAGCTGTGGCTGTCCCAATTCTGGAATTGTTCAAGGTCAGGTTGGATGGGGCTTTGTGCAATCGAATCTAGTGGAAGGTATCTATGCACACGGTAGGAACAGTGGAACTAGAGGATCTTTAAAAGTCCCTTCCAACCCAAATCATTCTATGATTTAGGTATCTCACAAGCTGTGTTCCATCACCTCTGTAAGGAGTAGTATTGGGCAAAATGTGGTAACACCAAACTGCTCCAGTTAAAGCAAGCCATGCACATTCCAAAGAGCTTTGTGATCTCTCCACCAGAAAGGAGACAGCCAGAACATCTGATAGCTAGAAGCCTTCCTGCTGTCCAAATCAAAATCATGACAAGACCATGACAACACATCCAGATGTCATGGCCAGCTGTGTGAGGAAACCATGGGAATTAAGGGCTCAGCATTTGGCAGGCCTGGGGCATAGCTATTATTTCAGGTTGGACACAGAACATGCTGTACAGCTGCTGCTAGTAGCCAGTACAGCATAAAAAGGGAGCAGTCTGTTAATATTTTATTATAGATGTACATTTGGGGGTTGTTGGTTTTGGTTGGCTGTTTTTTCCCTGGTAGGTTACCTTAGCTGTGCTTCTGCCTTCAGCTGATGCAGTATTTAAGACCTCAAACAAGATCTCACCCTAAGCCTGGCCTCACTCAGGGTAACGTGATTGTATTGGTTCAGTCTTGCTGCCCATCACCTACCTGTAGCAGCTCTTTTGCAGAACCTCTCTTCTCCACGTCCATTTCAAGACAGCGATTTAAGAAGTCTCGGAATATGGGTGACAGCTTTTCTGGATTCTGCAGTTCTGGAGTCCCATTAGTAGCGATGAGATACAGGGCCTAATGCAAAAACAAGCACCAAAGAAACAGGAGGTTAGATTCCATCTCTGTATTATACCCATTTCACTTCTCCCTCTCCCCAGTTCAATGGGGAGGAAAAAAACTGCACCTTATCAGGGTGACTAATCAATGCCTAAGTTTCAGCAAATGGAATAGCTGCCAGCCCTATTTTTTTGTGGGTGGGATCCAATCCTTTATTGTTTTACCCTCTTAATCTGGGTTTAGATCCTGCAGCCCTCTCAAGGGATTACAAGGACAAAAACAACATTCCAGACCCTGTTTACATAGGGAAGTTAACTGGCATGACTCTACCAGTGCTTCTGTAATAACTATATCCTCATGGGAAGGTAACCTTGACTAAATAGAAGATTTTTTTTCTGTCAGTACTTTGCCTCAGTGCACCAAGCCTAAAAAGTCAACCTGATAAAGATGGAGTTGGCTCCTCACAAAAGATGTCCAGCAGACCCTTCAGCAGCTTTTAACATCCTGCGAAACAAGCAGTTTTGCTACTACTTGGGGATGAAGTATTCACACACACCCTCCTCTGAGAACCAAGGAACTCAGAATTCATCCATTGCAGGATTTCATGTGAGAAACTTCCTGGATGAATTTTCAAAGGAAACAGAAATCTGCCAGAGACTTGTTAATATGCAGGCCTTTTGAGCACATCACTCAACACATCCCATGGGAGCAGTCTGATAGCCTGGGAATTAGTATAAGTTGAGTTAAATGAGGCAAAGTACTGTTACTTTAACTCAAAACCATTTCATTCCTTACACTCTTCTTTGCTGCTGCTCTTCTCTCCCAAAAATCACTTCCAGATGGAGAAAAAAGTAGGACAGAATTTTTCAAGATTCCTCCAACCTGTGTAGCTGAGGGAGAAGCCACAAACCTGGCTTATACTAAGAGCAGTGATGCCCCTATACACTGACAGCATCCCTCCTTTTGTTAAAAATTAAACAAGGGAAAGACATCAGGACGCTTAAGCCCTGTCTAAAGGCTTAACAATCTTTCAGTAAGAAAAAGCTCTGTTTATAGAATAGAATCATAGAAATATAAAATGGTTTGGTTTGGAAGGGACCTTAAAGATCATCGAGTTCCAACCACCCTTCCACTAGCCCAGGCTGCTTAAAGCCCCATCCAGCCTGACCTAACTCAAGGAGAATTCTTTCACACTCACAGGGTACAAGGTTTCAAGACATCACTGCTTTGGCACCATCCAGTACTCTTTCTGCCTCTGTCAGCATCTCCAGAAAGTGGGAAATTATAAGTGTGCATGATCTAATTCATCAGAGCTGACCAAAGAGTCTGTGCAGGAAGCACACACACCTCTGCTATCCAGAGCAAACTATGGCTTTAACTATCTCAGTCTTCTCACCATGACATCTAAGCAGACCACAGAATCATAGAACAGTTTGAATTAGATGGGCCTGCAGGTGTTGAAATCACACCGGAGGAGTCACATGAGCAGCAGGCTTAGCAAAGACCTGATGACAAAAGGTACTTGCTTACTCTCAGGGGGTTCTCATTGAGGTAGGGGGGCTCTCCTTCAATCATCTCGATGGCCATTATCCCCAGCGACCAGATATCCACTTTGGGCCCATACGCCTTCCGCGTCACCACTTCAGGTGCCATCCAGTACGGGGTCCCCACCATGGTGCTGCGCTTGCTCTGCTCAGGAGTGATTTGAGCACAGAAGCCAAAGTCAGCTGGAAAATTAAAATGGGGTGGAGGGGGAAGAAACAGACAGACAAATCAACAAACTTCTCCAAAAACAACCCTTAGAGATATCAGAGCTGCAGTACACTTTACCTTGCTGTGCTGTCTGGGGTGTTGCTGCTGTGAAAGGAGGGGTGGGTTTGTGGCTAACACAGAGCACGGTGTTTAGAGCTAAGTTTCTAAATCTGACTCTCTGAGGCCATGAGCATCATAGAGCTGCTGACTCGACTGTGTGAAAGATAGGGATCGGTAAATACCCATGTACATATATTGAGACACTCAACTGTGTTGCAGCATCCTGCAGCTGTAATACACAGTGTCATATATGGTCTAAAGACCATCCCTGGGTATGTGAAAATAGAATTTAATGCACGGTCTGATCCAGATACACTTCCCAACCCACACACTGTATTCTTTGATGGTATTTTCAGCCCAAGAGATATTAGTTCCCCAGTAGATATATCATCCTTCAAACAGCATTTGCTTTACAGAGCAATGAGTGTTTAGAATAAATTTAAAGTATCTAAATTTATATTGATTATTTTCTTTGAATAGAGACAAAGAGGGAGAGCCTTCACACAAAGATTGCTGGGTCCTGTATCTTATTTGTATTTGACTTACCAAAAGAAAAAACTCATTCTGTTCTTGTGAGCCCAGCAGAATCAACACAGCAAGATGCACTGCCCAACGTGACCTCCTACAGCATCACAGGTCTAATTTTAGGCAGAATGATGAAAATTAAACTGATTCCTAGCTGAGTTTTCATCAAGGGTAAATACCAGGAAAGGACATATGGTTCATAAACAGGGCAAATTTCCAGCACAGCCAGTAAGCAGCTCAGATCCAGAAGGTTACTGCATCATATCCACAGGGACTTCTTTAACTTTAAACTCCAGTCTGGTACCTGCATACTATGCTCAAAGAAGTTATTCCATAAGAACAGAGCACTTTGGCCCCCCATCAGCTATTCATCGCTAACACTCCATAGACCTGACTGTATCAAAGTGCAGCTTTAGTCTAAAAGCAATTATGTGCAAAAAAACCCCCACCTTTTTACTCAGCATATCTGCACTGTGTGAATTTTGAGTCATATCTGCTGCCACTGCCTACAAAAATAGATTTATTTATGCCTACTGGGTGCTAGCCAACAGAACAGAGAGGAAGAGAAAAGGAGCACAATTCTCTTAAAGCTATAGGTGAAGATGATAACTGACTAGTTTCCAGACTTCTCTGTGCATGGGCAGAGACAAGCACAACAGCTACCTCAGTAGCCAGGGGGCAGAACAGCCTCAAGGTCTTCATTGATGGTGATACCACATGGAGGAAACAACATTTAAAGTCCAGTCTGGGTTGACATTGTAAAATTAAATTATTTCAAGTTACATGGTTTTCAATTCTCCTCCACTTCCCCTGAGCCCCAAGTACCTGTAGTATTTTCCAGACTGAAGAGACTGTCCACAAATAAAGACTTCTGGCACTACACCTCCCAATCCAGCTTTCTAGACTGGAGTAGCATAAAAATACTGTTATTTTAGTTAACATAAACAGATGGCCCAAAACTAAATGAAATTCAAGCCTCACTTCAAGTCTGGTATCAGTTCACAAAGACTCATGCTTGCCAATCTACATTAAAACCAATGCCACAAAAATATCTCCAGGAGCATTTCTACAGCCTGTTCATCACCACTCAAACACCTATCTCCCTAAAATGCCTGGCCCAGACCAGATAACTGGTCCAGACTGATAACTCAAGTCATCATCAGTAATGTTCCCTGCATACTTAGTTTGACAGAGCCATCCATTCCCAGCAGGATGTTGTCACTCTTGATGTCCCTGTGAATAACTTGGTTTGAATGTAGGAATTCCAGAGCCTGGAGACACTGAAAAAAATATTTGAGATATTTTTACTGTGCATGAAATTATTCACCAGTCACAATTAGACAACTAAAGGACTCAAACAACATGCATTTTCACTAGTAAGGGCGTCGTGTCTTAGGACCTTTCATATATTCAGTATGTGCAGGACTATAGAGATACCCCACTGGGATCAGCAGGTCCTAGGAAGACAAGTTACTCCCTAAAGACCTGAAGAACAGACATAATCAGGAGGATTCCAACCCCATTTCCCACTCTAGTCCTCCCTCTAGGGTGGAACATAAGGCTTGCATTAGAATCCTAAACTGCAATCTTGCAAGTGAAATCCATCCTCTGAAAGAACGACTGTTGCCTTACAGAAGCTGGAGATACCTATTCCCATGGAGTTAGTGACAGATCATACAAAGCCTGTGTCCCATTCCCAACCACAGCTCCCTCCGAGTGCGAGTCTTGCTTTACCTCCCGGCACACAGCTGCGATTTGTCCCTCGTCCATGCAGGTCTCTGTCACAACATCTGTTAGGGAGCCTCCTGCCAAATACTCCATGACCACCCAGAGCTCTTCTCCTACAAGGTAACTGAAGAACCAAAACTAGATTTTAAAAATCAGCACGTATGAGCATGTCACCATTTACCTGGCCAGAATGCACATGGTTTCAAAGCTGTCCTCCAAGTGTAGAGAAACCAGAAGTCACATTTAACAGTATTGGGGGAACCAGGTGTTTGTGGTACTTTCTGTACATGGGAGGATCCAATCACAATCTGAATGACCAGAGCAAAGGGTGAGTGCAGAAGTTGAGGAGAGATGTAATGGGAGAGCTGGCTACAAGCTTCCTGTCCATAAAAGCAAGGCTGAATTTTTCTGCCATGGAAAGGACACAGACTAAGATGGAGACCTGACCTTACAACTCCTGCTGCTGCTGGGAGAGAAAGATAAGAGCTCGTAGTCAAGGATGGGGTCCAAACATGCAGCCCGGACATTTGGCACATGGCATGGCTTTTGAGGGCTCTTGCATTGGAAGAGGTGGCTGGGGGCTGCTTCACTACTTGTGGCATCCTGCTGTCCTAAGCAACTTCCTGCTTTGCCTAGGCACAGAGACAATCCTGGGTGACACAAAGGATGGCTGCCCACAAACAACCATGAAAGAACACTTCTTTTTTAAGCATTATGCATTTGAAAATCACGTCAATCTTTTTAGTGCTACCAAACTAGTTTGTGATTTTGCCTAAAAATTTCAGAAGGAAAAGAGAACTGGATGAAACATCAATTCTGAAGACAAAAAGCCCAAACCCAAACCACTAACCATTTCTGCCTTTTTGGGTTCATCTGGAAGAACATCAACACAAACTTCCATGACAGATACATCAGGATGACACATTCCTGAAGGAAGGAATCATCAGTTTGAAAACAGACCTTCTCAGCCTATCCTCTCATTTTTCAAGTGAGTGGACAGATGAGTCAAGTGAGAGGGCAGAGAATCTAATTAAAAGCTTTAGCTGGCATTAGAGTTCATCAAGGATACATTTGCTTTGCCCTAAAAAACCTGATCTTACTGAAGAGTGAATTTGCTAGGAGCCAAATGTAAAAACCTGGATAGGTTCTAGGGAACAATTCCGTAGAAAGCAACACTGAAGGAGAAATAAATTAAGCCCAACTTGGCATGGAAAGTAAAAGACAGAGGTGAGTGAGACAGCACCGGAGTGAGCAAGCGGTGGGCTTGACCACCAAAGGACACAGTGACAACACCTAAGCTGATGAAAAAATCCTCCAAAAAATAATTGTGGTCTGAGCTACACCTGGATGACAGCACTGTTACAGTTACGGAGAGCTTTTAATACCAGAGACAAAGAGAGTAGCTTGGTTTGGTGATGCTGAAGACTATGTAGGGAGGTACAGTCTGGAGTTTCTTTCAGGATACAATGCCCAAGGGCAAAGGGCTATGCTCCCAGAGCAGACAGGTCTCCAACTCCACTATGGAACAGAAGCTAATGCACTGGAATTTTTTTCCCTGGCATTACAGACCCCAGAAAAAGTAGCACCACCTGCACAGCAGCCCATCTGAGAGAGGAGCAGCAGAACTACTTTCCGAAGCACTCCTGCTATCTCTGTGGGTCATTTACCTTCTGTTGGGCTCTGAAAGCTGCTCCATCCACACCCTTCCTTCCTGCCCCTATGCTATTGCTATTTCTTCCTAACTTCTGCCAAACCAGGCTCTCTCCAGATTATATCAGCACTCTCTCAACAAATCGGCCACTCCAGACATCTCAACACTTCCCTTCATTGCCAACAGCACCCTCTGCAGCCCTAATCTACTTGATTGTAAGGATGGGTGCAAAATGGGCTCCATCACTCCTGTGTGACAATCTCAGGTTCCACACGCTGGGAGCAAGCTGGTACCTCTCTGCAGCCAAAAGGGATGGAGCAAGCCAAGAACCACACTGTGAACCAAAGCTGTGCCATGAGCAGCCACGGGCATGTGCCAAGACCCTGGCAACTCAATAATTTGATGGATTTGACATAACACACAGAGAGGTGGAATTAATGGTGGTTCCCTGCCAGCTGCCACCAAAAAAATGTCATTTCAGGGGACTCGGTGGTACCGTCTCATGGATCTTTCCACTCCCTTGCCAGTTTTAGTCATTGAGCTGCCCACTGTAGTCATGACTCAAACCCACTCTCTCAGTAGTTCTGGAGACACCACCAGGAAGTCTGTACACCTACATGCTGCTCAGCATGTGACATCAGGCATAGCACGGTGTCACACCTTGTCACTCACAGTCACCTTCCAAAACAAGGCTGGCAGTAAAAAAAACCTGGTGAAAGTCTTTGAGGAAGAAGGAGACTATCTACACTTTCTCTTCAGCCATCTGAAAGAGCAGGTAATATCTGATCCTGAAAGGTATTCCTCAGCTTCCACTTAGATACCCTAGGAGTACCAAGCCCTTCATATCACAAGTATGCACCAGTCAGTATTAGTCCCTTTTTACTGATAAAATTTATGAAATATGGTTTTGCCCAGAAGAACAAGTTCATTAATTTCAAATCTTTGCACCAGTAACATGCCTCCAACATGCAAACATCACGGTAGCCTGGAAAGAAAACAATGTTTTCTTGTAGCATGACTGTCTTACATCTTCAGCTTTATTCACTGACCATCCATCCCTATTTCAGTCTGGGGTTGGGGTGAGGGTAACAGTGGCTACCACTTATTTATGGGGTTTATTAAGTTAAGGAGAGTTCTTCTGAAAGAAACCAAAGGGCGGGAGTTTGCTTTCCCTAACACGGGGCATCTGATGCCTGTGTTTATATGCCTAAGTTTAGAAGCAAGCCTCTGAGGGCTTCTTTCACAGAGTAGAAAGAAACTGGCACCTCCAGCAGGTAATTCAGCACAAGTGGCTGCTTGTCTGCACTGAAGACTAGTGTCACTGTCTTCAGAACCAGACGATTCCAAATTCAGCTCTGAAGTACAGCTGAATTAGTCTATGGCTCTAGGTTAAATGCCACAGCACACCTGTGTGCAACACTGGCCACTTACACTGCAGCAGAAAAACTGTCTTAACCACAAGCAAGTAGGCCATGCAGGTAAGAGAGGACAAAGCACAGGAAACACTTGCATAAGGGCAGGAGCTGAGGCAAAAGAGAAGTGAGAGAGCTGGTTTATGCCCATGACTATCTTGCAGCTCCCATTAGGGACTCAGAAGGGGAGGCACTGTAACAGAACTACAAAAGAGAAACCAGGTCTCAGTGGTGAGCACATCCTTCCTCATACTTCCTCAGTGACAGGAATAGGCAGAAGCCAGCAAGTGGCGTCCAAATATTAGCTTAATTCAGCACTTGAGAAGCAAACAGGCACATTAGGCCAGGCAGAAGTGACACAGCTCCCCAGCTACAGTATCCTGCAGTTGAAAAGCTGAAATAGTATAATAGATGCAAGAACTCCCATGTTCATCCCAGTTGCTGTTCTGTCCATGTGCAGCACTCAACAAAAGCTAATCCCTCTGAAAAAGATTAGTGAAAGTGAAGGACAGAAGCAGCAGCTTTTGTTGCTGGAAGTTTGAACAAGACAGCAGGATGTGCAGCTATCCTGCAGCAGCAATGCACTGGCTAGAGAAGGCATATACACAGTGATGCCTGCCTCCCAAACAGTTTTCTTGAAACAAAGCCTCTAATCAGCCAGGAGAAAATAACAGTTTCAGCCTAGATGCAATTCTTAACTCTTCTTTACCATTTGTTTCATTGTACACTGGTAACATTCTTCTCTTTGTAAGAAAAGGGTGTCTGCCCAGCATCACTTCCCTGCACACACACCTCTTTCACAAAATTTCAGGGGCAGACTTCCTGTCCTTTCAACAAAGTAGTTCTTTACAGCTATGCATAGGACACATAGCACCATGAAAATTCAGCAATTCTACTGATGTTGCAGTTTATAAGTAGTACTTTTTTTGGCTCAGACATTAAAAGCCTGCTAAAGAAATCTATTAAAAAAACAGCTCATTAGCTGTTGATATACATGCAGAGCAAACAAGTGTGTAAATAGTCTCTCAGATTTCCAAAAGAGATTATAGGTGACATCTCTCCATTGTATCTTCAAAAACACCCCAACTGCCAAGATTAAATTTTGCACCTCAATCTATCTAGGCACTTTTTATCCTACAAACTTGCAGTTCATTAGAACTGCTACATTCAGATGCTGAGTGTACCAGACTGGAAGTCTTACTGCAGCTCTAACAGGTCTAGCTATATCTTTATAATGTGAATGACATAGACTTGACACAATGCATCAGTGTTCTGTTGATGGTAAATTCAGTCACCATGTAATGCCTTTGCCTGTTGGGCTTTCAGTATCATAAAATCACAGAATGGTTTGGGTTCAAAGGGACTCTAAAGATCAGCTTGTTCCAACTTCCCCTGCCATAGGCAGGGATATTTTCTGCTAGACCAAGTTGCTCAAAGCCCCATCCAATCTGGCCTTGAACACTTCCAGGGATGGGACAGCCACAACTTCTCTGGGCAACCTGTTCCAGTGCCTCACCACCCTTACAGTAAGGAATTTCTTCCTTATACCTAATTTGAATCTACCCTCTTTTAGTTTAAAACTGTTCCCCTTTGTCCTGTCACGATCTGCCTGCATAAAAAGTCACTCTCCCTCCTTTTTAAAAGCCCCCTTTAAGTACTGAAAGGCCACATTGAGGTGTCCCCAGACCTCATGTTATGTGTCACGTCATTCACCCTCATTGTTGTTATGGTACTGTACAAAAACCTCCATGGACAGTCACAGGGACAAGATTACCAGTCTGCCCCTCTCCCAGCAGCCAGCATTGCTCAGTGCAAGAGGAAAGAAGAAGAAGAGGAAAACAAATACAAATAACATGATTCAAACTACTTCTGTTTCTCCTCTAGGAGCAGGAAGGAAACAGCTTACTGTGTCAAATTTTGTCAAGGGAGAGAGCTGGAAAATGGAGTCCTGACAGGATACTGCTAGTACCTTGCTACTAGCATCTCTAAAGTGAGCCTAGACACCCCATTAATACCAATTCAAATTCCTGTTTCTCCTAGTTATGGAGAGAGACAACCAAGACACCCACATCCCCACAAAGGCACATGTGTGCATTAATCAATGCAAGGTTGTCCTACACCTTGCATTAAGTTGAGCCTGGAACACTTAACACCGACAAGAAAGTGTTCCCCAGAGTCCCTTCGTGAACCCTTTAAATGCTGACATACCTGTCCAAGTAGTTGACAATGTTGGAGTTTTTGTTTTCCCTCATCACAAGGATTTCATTAATAATCAGTTCTTTTTTGGGTTGCTGCTGCAAATTCATCTGTTTGATTGCAACCTGCAGTGAAGAGACACCAAGTAATGTGTTATTACAGGAGTCCCCCAGAAACGTGCCAGTACCAGTCAATTTAGTCCCACATTTGGGTGAAGGAGGAAAACACTTTTTCATCATGGGATGCTCAGCCATTTAGTAACTCTGCAAGTTCCTGCAGCCAGTCCATTTCCACACGTGTTGGATGATATTTCATGCCAAAAAGGACAAGGAAAATTACCATTTTCATACTGGACCTTCAGGTCACAGTTAGATAGCCATCTCCATCTACAACTTCTTGGTAACAAGGAAAGAGATCCACTTACTCTGGTATGGACTGATATGTCAAAAGTTTTTTATTTCTTAAAGGATTCTTATTATTTTGAATTGGATGTTTCTGGGTTTTTTTGGTGGTTTTTTTCTGCTCTCCTGCAATTTCTGCTTCTAGAAATCTCCAGTAGGGCAGGTAAATAACACAGCCTAAGTTTAGTACTTCAAGGTAGTAATTCTATTTCTTTTTTCACAGTAAGACCTGAGTGAGAGAAGTACCAGTGTTTAGATAAAAGACTGAAAATAAGTGAATTGGAGTCAGCTGTATCTCCAGTCATAACTGACGGGCAATAGGGATGGATTTGTCAGTTGTAGCCCTTTGGTTTAGTAGCTTTCTGCCTGCTTCAGGATATGTGCTCTTTATGTATATATGCAGAGAGTAGGGAAGTTAGAACATGTTTTCAACTCTTGTATTCAAGTTTCCACACTACCAGTACCTCGTGAGAGCACCTGGCCCTCAGACAAGCCTTTAAATCAGTAAGCCTACTCAGCACAGCTGGAGGCAGAAATACTTCATAGATGTATGAACTCGACTGTCTCTGGTACAATATCTAGGCAAAGGGAAGGAAATGCAATTATGCCTTTACAGAACAGCTACTTCCAGAGAAAGAGGCCTCGGTGAATGGATGGGAGCCAGTAACTCCAGTAACTCACAAAAAATGAGGATTAAAAGAAACAAGCCAAGAGTGCCAATATAGGTGGATACAATTAGCATTTTGATAGTGTAGCAGGGGAGACTATAGAAAAATCCCAATACATGAAAAGGCAGGAGCAGACAGACATCATGCTGGTTTTCCACAGTATTCACAAGGGCTGCCAAACATTAGTTAAAGAAGACAAAACCAAAAACCCCCCGCTGCTCTTTGTGCAAGACCAGAAAGGAGAATGAAAGATGAAGAAGTGAGGGAAGGCATTTTATGCAGATAAAGAAACCCCAGTCAAATACTGAGGGAGCTTCAGAGAGGCTCTTGTACTTCCTCACTCTTGCTCAGAGACAGACACACAGTCCAAGTGCATACGGGGGCATTTTCATTATCTGTCACATACATTAGGATACAAAATAAACAGCTGGAGTTACACTACATAGGCATCATCAGTGAAAATCTTCAGTGTTCTTTAGCTTGGAAGCTGCCCAAGGTTCCTGTATAGTGCAAAATAAAGGATTTTCCGTCCAGTGTTTCCAAAATGTGTGCCATTCTATGAGTTCCTGAGTTCAGTGGATTTCGCAGAAAGGAACATATCAACAGCATGACAAGGTTACAGCAATCCCAAATGCAGATTTAAAAATCCAGGGTCTGATCACACTAGTGTAACGGGAATGATTTAAAAGTCTGTTGTAACATAAGAGTTCAAATTTTCACACGGGAGTCGCCAAAGGGGTCCATAAAGAAAGCAGAAAACCATCAAAGGAGTTCCTCCTATAAAATTCGTCATTGTTTCAAAATAAATACATCATCCCTTCCTCACAGGCTGCAATTAGACAGTATCAATTCTTCAGGAACTGAAAAAGGGGGTGAAGGAGTTTCAGCAAAAAGCATATTTATGAAATTTACTGGTGGATAACTCTAACATTGTACAAACACAAAAGTAGACGGATATTGTTGAAGACTTCCATAAATATATTTGGAATAATCCATACGCTTACATCTTTTAAAAAATCCTGCATCTAGCAATAAGGGTTTCCACAGATGCTGCATAACCAGCACTATTAGTTTATTATGCAGTCAATAAGCGTGGAACTTTTCAATATTCGTGAGGGGGGAAAAAGAGACAGATATCCCTTGTCTCACAATAACAGGGCAGAAAGCAAGTGGGCAACGGGTGGGAGAGGAACTATTTCTATGCAAATCAACTAGTATAAGTGTAGGAAGCAAAAGAGCAGAGGGCATACAAAAGAGTTAACGTGGAGACAGGCACCAGTCTTGGGGATGAAGAGAGAAACTTCTTCTGAGGAACTACCCAGTCCAAACATTTGCTTCTGGCCACTGCGGTCACAGAAAGAATCTTTATAAATATGAAATGATTCAGGAATCAAAACTTGGGAAGTCATTTTTTCCAGTTCTCTGCTCAGACCACTCAACCATGCCTCATTAGTAAGTAAATAAAGACCTCATTAAAAATAAGATGACATGAATCCCTGAAAGAGAGTCTTTATTTTGTAGCATCAACTTGAACTTTCAGGACACAATCCAAAATCCACTGCTGTGGTATTCTGGCAGCACTTACCTCCTGTCCTGTAGCTACATCTATTGCCGTGTAAACTGTACCCGAGGCTCTAAACAAAACAGAGAAAAGAAAAAATCCACACTTATTAGTGCCTCATAGTAAGAGTGAGAGCTTAACACATGCCTGTTCCCACTTGTCTCTCTGAAGTGCTCTCAGTCTTATACTTTTACATGCAATAATTCCAGTGGTAAACATCATCTGAAATATTTCTGAGCCAAGACTGCTGTTGGAGCAGAAACCAGGAAATTTATGAGGAATAAAGCTCCTAATAAGGGTCACTATGGTCATCCAAACCCTTGCTATTAAACCAGCAACTTAGCACATTTTGTAGGACTGGGAGTGGCATGTGGACTTTAAGTGGCATGACTGCACTACCTGGGCTTGCAGAATGGCCAACATGATAACGGAGCACAAAGGATCAGCTGAAGTAAAGAAATGTAGCATTTGTAGTGAGGGAAATGGGAGTTTGAGCCTCAGCACATGGAACTGACAGCAGATCCCAGTGATTTGCACTGATTTGTCTCACTCCTCTCTCCTACAACCCGTACTTTCCCCCTACCCTGCTTAGAGGGGCACAGCATGTGCCTTGAGAAGAGCTGATTCAGAAGCAAATCTGTAATTTGAAGACTGTCTTGCAGTTCCTTCCCCGTTTGTAGTTGCATTTATCAACCTGATGTTCTAGTGACGTATTTTCTTATATTAAAACACAATTACACAAAAACCCAGTCCCTGAGACTTTGCCAGGAAAGGGAAAAGACCTAGGGGGGATGTGGAATTCAGCAAAACAACCAAAATTAAAAACAAAAAGAAGAAAACAAATAAACAACCAAACAAAATAAACTTTCAGAAGTATCACTAACAGCTTTTCCAGCAAACTAACTTAGCCTAGTTACAGTGATTCCTTCTTACCATATGGAAAAGAAAGGTATAGGGCAGAGAAGAAGCATATACTAACCCTTGCCCAATCTTCTCAAAATTCGTATACTTCTTTTTTGGATCACCCACACTCACGATACTTCCTAAAAAAAAAAGAAAAAATCTGATTTTCTTCAAATATTTTTTTGTACACTATAGGACCCAACTGTAAGAGCAGTTCCATGGCCACAGCCGGCTCTGCCTCATGAACCACTCATCAGAAATCCAGAGACAGAGAGACACCAAGGAAGTCCTCAGTTATTTACACATATACCAGCTGCAGCATTCCCCTCTAGGAACTTCCCTTCAGAAATGGTGGGACACAGACATTAAGAACATTTAATCTTCACTACTAGTCAGTGTCTGCACACTGCTAGGCACAGGACGGGGGTACACAGCCCTCACACATGGAAATACAATTATTTGCTGGAAACCTACAGCTTTAAGTCACCCCCAGATTCAACATATCGGATGATCTAAGATGCCCCTGCACTGCAACATCTCTAAATTTGGAGGCCAGGGTCTCAATTGTCTTGGAGCCAACAGTCTTTTACAAAACTAGTCAAAGACTTCCCTACACCATGACAATTTGCAGCGGGAAAACATATTTATGGTGTTTTCATACCGGCACAGCCATAGTCATGACTGACCCAATGACTGGGTTGCAAGACTCAGGGGGGAAAGGTGGAGAGACCCTTCAGAGCCAAATCTCCCCTGGCCTGGCCTAGGCAATGCTCAGCTGCTCTTCTAGGAACCCAATAGTCAGCACAGGTTTTAGCAGCAGTTACCAGCATCGCTCTGGTTTTGGAAAGCAACCTGGGACAATCTCAGTTCATTCTCCTCTAACATGGCTGTTCAGCCAGAAGAAAGTGTATTACTGCATCCCTCAAAGGGAAAAGCACTTTGCCTGGTCTTCTGCAGCACAGGGCTGTGAGGGGCCGCAAACTTTAACTGATAATCATAACTCCCCTACAGCAGGCAGGAAACACACCCTTTTTAGCCTGAAGAAATCACAGTCAATAATATCTGGAGCTCAGCTGGGAGCAAGTCTCCTCTCTAACAGCACCAGGGTGGCTAATAGGATCAAAGGATGCAGAGCTGCATCTGAGTTGGTGTTTGCAAGTCACTCAAGCTGCCAACATATGGTGCTGCTTTCACAGGGTCTCAGGCTGAGCCTTAACAGATGTATATTGGCAAAGAAACTGCTCATGGTCATTAAGCCAAGAAATCCAGTAGCAAGCAGAGCAAGAGCAGGCTATTTTCGGACACCACTGGAGAGTAGCCAAACCCAGAGGGTTTAGGGAAGACAGAGGCAGAAGAAGGGAACATGGCCCGTGTTTGGAGAGGAGGGCAGGAAGAGAAATCTGGCTATATAAAACCCACTGTACAATTACAGAAGTATTGCTGTCTGCCCTGAGGACCAGTATTTCTGGACAAATGTTCATAAACTTTCCCTCAAAGCCAAACATAGGCTGCAAGTTCAGACTGTGAGATAGCCAAATGTTTCCCCAAGGCAAGGACAAGACAGACGGCTGTGGTGACCAGAGGCAGTTGCCAGTTTTGCCCTGTTTAATGCTCTTAAATGTAAAAAGAGGAGATGTTTCCAACCTTCCAAAAAGCCAGGTGAGGATTCGTTAGTGTTTGCACCAATGCTGCGTTAATGCAGAGAGGTGGAGATTTAGCAGCTTCCTTTTAACCTTTGCATGTCTTTAGCGCACCTTTGGTATGTGTAAATATATTTTTGCTTTCCAATTTTAGTAATTTTATTCAACCAAAACGTTTTATGTCAAACCAAAACGTGAAAAGGTTGCTTGTCTGCACAAGTACAGCTCCACTGCCCTCAGTGGAAAAACAAGCTTGCAACAAGACTAAAACTTCATCATGTATTTCTGACTAGCCCACATCTAGAAGCTGACACCTCAAGCAAGCAAGGTGTCAGAAGGTACATTTGCTACCCAACAATCCTAGGAGTAGCACTTGCATTTCTCTTTATGACAGAAGCAGGTGTATTTGTATTAGAATAGCACTTTTTTGTGCCACAGTTGCTGCTTGCCGTATCTGGTCACAAAAATGGTTTGAATCCTTAACAGTACAAAGATCTTGCTAATTCAGTGAGTGAAGCTGCTGTTCTGAAACAGTAGGTGCGAGTTTTCCAACAGTGAGCAGTTCCAGTTAACATGGCATCAATTCAATTTAGGCTTTATTTAGAAGAATGAGGTACTCAGATACCATTTTAATATTTTAATTTTTTTTTAACTTATACCTTCAGATTAAATTTTGCTTCATATAGCTACTAGACTTTGCTTCCTAAAATACTGACCTTTAGGGGTATACCCTCAAACCAAGGAGACCAGCCTGGCCATAGAGGTGCTAACATAGCTTATATAAACTGATAAGCAAGGTGTGGACGTAATTAATACAGGATTAATAGTTCAAAGAATGAGAAATGCTCTACTCTTAATAAAAACTGGTCCAGGCTAAGGATAGCAATCAATTGCATGAAAGAGCTGTTTCAGCTATTGGATATGCCACAGCATAACCCTAAAACATCAAGCAGCAGAGGAGCACTTGCACTGAAGGTAGGAATTGTTAAAGACACGAGGACACAAGTGAGAGACTTGATGACATTTTTCTCAGAAGAAAACCACTAATTTGGGCACCCACACAATGTTAAGGAACTTAAAAATAACCAACTCATTTTACACCATGATACTGTGGAAGGCAAACCTGGGGATGCATTAATTTTCTCTCCATCCTTTAGACACCTTGTGTCTAACATTGCAATATAATCATTCGCGCTTCAGAGCTACAGAATAACAAGATGTGGAACAATCTCAGATTTCATAGTTAAGTAGATGTTATTTATTCAGGGCTTGTTTTGCAGAGCCTGAGGATCCGCAACTCCCTGGGGAATTTAGTTAGCATCACAGGTGCTCAGCGTATATTTTTGCTCCCCTCTTACATCTGCCCCCAATTTTGTGTTGTGACTGTATGCCAATGTCTTCAGTTAAGGACCTCAAAATGGGAATGTCAAAACATTTCAGCTTATTAAGATTTTGAGAAACCAACACAGCAGGACCTGGAATTTAATTTTTTTAAAGAACAAGGACATACTTAATTTTTCCAGTATCTCTTCATCTGACATTTTTGGCTTTTTCTTTTGTTTCTCCGTGTTCCTGACCAGCATGTCGGGCGCTGTTGTGCTGTTTTCCGAGGGAGAAGTAATAGGAGAAGTGGCCACATCTCTGGTAGGAGGAGGAAGAGGGTCTATCACAGAGCGGGTGTATATCTAATTTTGTTGAGAAAAACATAGAAGTCAAATGAAGATTTAAACACTTCATTCTGTTATTGTTCTTGTTGCTGTCAGGGATGCATTTCTATAGCTACTTTGTTAGCAACCAATGTCACTAATCAAGGACTTTTTTCCCCCCACAACTAGGCACGTGACAATACAAAGGTACTCTGTCAGAAAGAATGGCTCCCACTGCCTCCCCCCTGCTCCCGAGAAGGGCTCAGCACCATGCCATGCAGCATGGATGAAGAGTCACAGTCGAGACTCGACTGCAGCAGCGGAGCCTGAAGGAAGTATTTCTGCTCACAGATTTTGTGTGTTCAGGTCGCGGAGCTATCACCGGGGGTGGAGCTGCATCATCTTCATCATCTTCATCTTCAGACACTGAGGGCACTGCAGGGGTCTCAGAGACAGCTTTCACATTCTGCACATGGTTACACAAATAGCAAAAATAAAAACAAAATCACAAACATTGGATTAAGCACCTAACAGAGACTGTCTGAAAAATTCAAAGCCCAAAGTTCCTGAGGCTTCATGGGGAATGGAAGTGCAGTCCAGCACTGCCTGACAACCGTTCAGACAGAGCTCGTCACCTGCCTGCATAACAGCAATCCTCTTCCCAAGGGCCCACCTGGGTGCTCTCTCTGCCTTCCCAACACCCACACAGCAGATCTAGCAGTTCTGGAGACAACATCAGGGTTTGGAAATATCTGTCCCTATTTATATTTTCTCTTTTGTTTTTCCACTTGCTTCAAACTCTGACCAAGCAGTATGGAGATTTCAGTCTTTAAATCCTATAATTCACATCAAGATCTCTAAAAGTTGGTAAGTCAAGCCAACATCACCTTGTGACTGAGAACTAAGTAATGAGAGATTTCAGAAGCAGAATCTGGCAAAATCTTTTAAAATCTCTTAAAATTACTTTCTAACATAAAATTTTATAGAAAAAATAGGAACAATCCCTTTTTTTTCAAGTTTTATAGTGGTTGGAAAATTATCTGGAATTTTTTGCAATACTGTGATTAGAAATCAAAGTCACTTTTAACCTTTTAAACATGAAACTGAAATTCATGGCATTCATTACACTGTAAGCATTTCAGAATATACTTGGTGAGGTCCTCAACCCAGTAGACCAATTCTGGTTGTGCATCATCAGTTCTCTAAGAGTGGTAGGGGGAAAAGTATTAAAATAAAGTTCTCAGAAAGAGGGGGAAAGCAATACAGTATTTCACTGATCCTAAAATACTTGAAGTCACCACTATCCCAGCAAATAATTGCCGAAGTGCACTTGACATAACACAAAAGCTTAGCTTGTTAAAAACAAGAAGAAAAATACTTATGTACTGAGATTTTCCTGAATATCCACAAAATTAAAGGCTACCCAATGTCTTCCAAATCCATTACACTATGCTATCTCAGTAGATTGGTAACTACTCCTTTTTTCAGGATTTACTCTAAAATCCAACTTAGATATTCAAACTCCTGAGGACTGACATACAATCACATGTAATAATGAACAACAGCAGAAACATTTTCCTTTTCTTTTTGCAGAGAGTCTTAAATGATCAGATACAAATACAGTGCCTCTGGAAGGGGGCAGAACAAGCCAATTCTAGATAATGGCATGGCCATGAGAAAATAAGAGATGAGGGAACCATCTTAAACTGAAAGTCTTCCTTCTTCCATCTCACAGGCACATACAGAAACTTATCATGTCTCCTAACAAAGCAAATAGGAGTGGTACCTGCCCTGGTAAGGACTGAGTAAAGGTCAAGTGGAGAGGAGGAGAACCTTTTATTTCCTGTTCTGCTAGAGATTAGTTTGGTTAATCAGCATTAGTTTTGGTCAATCAGACCTTGCAGGTTAGTAAATAAACTTTGATCTATCACAGATGTTTATGGAGACATAAAACCTGACAGCCCAGTGGTTATCAAATTCTAGGTACAAGAACAGATCAATTTCTATCAAAACAGAGATCTTTCTATTAATTAATTCACTAATTTCCATTCATGAATTCCCTAAAAAAAACCGACTTCTGTCTACTTTATTTTCCATCAGTTTAAAAACAGTGAAAGGAGCACACCTGTACAAGTATTCACTATACAAATATATATAGTTCAGATTTTAAACACTAAGCAGTCTATGAGTTTGCATGTAGTTAACTAGTTTTTGCAAGTTTTTTAATCCCCAAACTCAAGACAGAATGTGACTGTAAGGCTTACCAATGTATTTGATGAATTGTAATCCTCTGCTGATTTATCTGAAAGAGACAGATAGTAATGCTGTTATAAATGAGTTATAAACCCAGCAGCAAGGGGGAGAGGAGAAAGGGACAAGCTCGCTTCGGAAAGGGCAGGAAAAAAGGCTGCTCCCAAACCAAGGCATTACATCCAGCTCCCCAGAAAAAGCTGATCCCTGGCAGATATAGAAATAGAGGGTAAATAAATGCAGGTCCCAAATCCCTGCTGCAGGAGGGTGGAACTGCCCAGAGCAATACCTGAATGAATACTGTCCTCCATCCACACACACAAAATATTATCAATGAGCTAATCACCACCAGAGGCAATGTAGCTAGCTCAAGACCTGCAAGATGTTCCATCTCAGTCACCTAAACTTCCTGGAATAGCACAAGAGGACCACATGGGTCAACTGGTGGGCTTCTCATTTGACTATCCAGGCACATATGGGCAAGATTTATCCCTGCTTGGAGCCTTCCTAATTAATACCAGTTCTGGTGACGTAGTTCTATCCCCTTAAAAGAACCAAAGTAGGGGATAGTATCTAGAAAGCGAAGGAGTTGCAGTTGAAAGGGAAAAGGAGTGGTGGTTGCAGATGTCCTTCAGAGGGCAGGCAATTCATACAAAGAGGCACAAAATCTTGGCAGCTTTGACTTTTAAAGGAATCTAGCAAGCAGTTATCAAGCACCCAGGCAGCTGAGGCATATCTCTCAATCATGGCACACAGGAGTAGAGAGACCCTCTCCCCAGGCATGTATGAAGACACATCCACACCCACCCTGCAAACTGAAACTGGTGCAAAATTTAGCTGCCTGTTAACTCCGGGGATTGTCATGACTGGGAACCCAGCACCAACAGTCTGGGATCTGCCTTCCAGATGCTGACTGCAAGCATAGAAAAAGTACGTTTTGGGGACTTAGCCAGTTGACTGACCTCCTCTTTTGTGGCTATGCTGGGCATCAGGATTAACAGAACAGCATTTCAAAGGAAGAAGGGCACTTGAGCAGCCAGAGAATCTCATTGACATCTTCCTTGAAAAGACAGATCTGCTTGTTGTTTAAACAAAAGAAATCCCACATGCAATGACTAATGGGGAGTTGGGCAAAGCAGCCATATGGGACCATCACCATGTACCTGTGAAACTCATGTACTTCTGGCTGTTGGAGATCTTCTTGGAGTTGTAAAACTCCAACACGTCCAGCACTGCTTGGGGGTTCTTCTTCTGCTCTGACTTGGTGATGTTGGAAGTCTGCAGTAAACGCGCCCATTGCTCTGGCATTCCCTGTGGGGAGATGCACCTCGTTAGCTCACAGCTGGCCTGATGTGGTTCACAGAACACATGCCCGCTGCCACAGTTCTGCCCCAGCTTTTGGGGTTACACAGAGGTGGGAGGGAAACAGAGAGAAAAAAGGACAGAAGAGGAGAGAAAGAAAAAGAGGTGCTGAACGGATGCCCTCCTAGCCACTGCCTGTGTTACAAGTCACACATTCCTTACATGGACAGGTAAAGGCCACTCTGCTCATGGGGCTTTGGGTGAGTCCCAGGTCCTTTGCAGACTGAAACTCAAAAGCTGGAGAGTTCAGGAAGAGCCTCAAGAAAAAAAATAAAACAAAAACCAAATCTTTTATGCACAGGTATATATCTATTTATATATACCCAAGAAAGACTATAGAAGTAGCATACACTGCACAGCCTCTAGCACAATGAACATGCAACAGTCATTTGTGTCTTCTTGTAGCACTAGAGTTCTTTGCTAACAGCAGTTTGTAAGCCAGAGCTGGGAAAGCAGAGGTGTTAACTTCACATCTGAAATTCAGAATTTCATTACAGGGGCATAATTTCAGCCAGAAAATAAATACACCTACAGTGCAACCAGACTTGTGCCTTTCCAGCACTAGGAAGAATAACAGTTTGTATGGACAAAGTGGCAAGGGACTGGGATCCTTTAGCAATAAAGTTATCCTCCCTGTTCAAAAGGATGACTGGATACAAGAGTCAGGTCATGCCTCACTGGCACGTGGAGGGTAACCTGGGCAAGTCTAGAGGCTGCCATGCAAAACAAAGCTGTACCTGTGATTCAGGGTAGGGGAGCAAAGTCCCTGAAAAAGCAGCACATTACAGACAGCTTAAAACACCTTGCTCACAAACAATTTCCACTGCTATGATATACTATCTCGTAACCAAATAAGAAGAATAACAATATGGGGAAATATGACTCTGTCTTTTTAGTATTTTGCACGTCAATAAAAAAAACAAACAACAACTCGGCACACAAAAGCATCTGACATTTAGCACATATATGTTCTGTCGTAAGTAGTTATAAACATCTGTGTGTCTCCCAAAGGGAAACTCTCAGAGCCCCACCTGGGGGACACAGGCTATGCTGTAGTTTTCAGTAGAGTATTTCAGCTCTAGAAGAGGAAAGGAGGGGAAGGGAGGGGAAGGGAGGAGAGATATACCATGTTTTGCTGACCACAACAGCCAAAAAAACAGGAAAGGAAAAGTTTGCTGGCAGCCAGGGCTCTGGGGGATGTGCCAAGTTTGACAGTCTCTCAGCATGAATTAGCGGGTAACCTCTGCAGATGTGTTTCAAAGGACATCAAACTAGACAATGGTAATAGCCTTTCCAGCATTACTGTATAAAAGATTAATGGGTCCTGGCTCCTCCCAGCAACAAGCTAAACCACATAGTTCTCTTTTCCTCCAGATTCACTCACTGTGAATTCTCCCGTGACTGCATCAAACCCCACATGAATTGTGTGTTCGAAGTCTGAAGGGAGGGAGATCTCCGGCCGCTCTTTCTCTTTCTTCTTATTGGCTGGAAGAGACAAAAACAACAAAAAAAATCCATAAATCCATCAAGAATTAAAATCTTCAATAGCTTCCAATTCACCTACACAATCACACCCCCCCATACCTTTTGCTAGTCATAGGATTTCGATCTGGAGCAGACAAACAGCAAGTTTAAAAACTTTGTTTCCTCGCTTAAGAGCAGCCACAGTGAGCAAACAACAAAAATAAAAGTCCTGTAACACAGGACGAGCATAAAGAAGGAAACTGATATTTTGGGTATGTAAAGTGTCAACTAGTACGTCTAGACTCAATAGCATGAGAGCTATTTACCTAAAATATTCACTTGAACTTATACAGGTCAGAGTTAAAAGCTCTACAGGGGCAGTAACTGGAAGCCAGGCAGTTTTGAACACATTTTTTTATTCATTGTTTTAAGCAACTTTTTTTTAAAAAATATTATGTGCTGTTAAACATACACCTGCTTCTCATATATAGCCAGGGACAAAATTAACTACAAGTACTGCTTATAAATTGCTTTTTTCATCCTATTTCCTCATAACAGAGTTTATGAAGAAAACTAAATATAACATCTGTGCTTCTGCTACAAAATCTTATATGAGCAAAACCACTTGTATTTTCTGCTCACAAAATGAACCAAAGGTGGTTTTAATAACAAGCTTTGAAGACATGAGCAAGACAGCAGAATCCAGCAGGTGAGGAGCAGAAGTCAAAAAGAAACAGGAAAGGAAATATATCAAAGCAGATGTACCCTGTAAATTTTAAACTTAGGTCTTCAAACAAGATTATCATTATGCTTTGGATTAAGTTCATGCATATTCACAATGTATTAAGGATTCCACCTTCCTTTTAATATTTATTGTATTCAAAAAATTGAGATGAGTTTAAGGAAGAAGCACATTCTACTCAGTTTTGCTGCTACTTGCAGTTATAAAATCAGCAGAGCCAGGAGAAGGTGACTAAACCACTTATGTCTCCCAGCTGCTACCTTTTTTATCCAAAGCCAAACAGAATCTATTTCGTGGCTGACATTCCCCGGTGCATTTTTGGCAACATGAATATCAAACCCCAGCATTTCAGAAGCCTGTGAGGCTAATGCTCAATATAGCAATTCTTTAAGACACTGCTGTGGTTAGTTGCACAGAGTGGGTCAGGGCTTGCCCCTAAGGACTGAATCCCATTTCTTTCAGGGCCAGCTCTGGCACTGCTCTTTGTATCACTACAGAGTTACAGTTGCATAGAGTAATTCTGGAGAAAGAAAAGGATCAGATGCTCCACTTCGGACACGAAGATGGAACAGATTGTTTTTGATCCCACTTTCAAACAAAGGCGATGGGGGAAGCTGAATCACGGAAGAGCAACAGAGTTGCCAAGGGGAAAGCAGAAGAAAAAGGAGCCATGCTGGAGGAGCCATCACGGAGAAGGGAGGAGACAGAAACATCTGCTGGTTAGCAGATGGTGAGCATCTGCAGCACAGAGGCCTACATGCACTAGTGGAGGATGGAAAGCAAGAGGAAAAGAGATGCATCAGAGGTCTGCCTACAGGATCAGTCCATTCCTCCAAGCCAAAGACTAAGGTGCCATCTCAGCCTAGAAGCTCATGGCTCAGGTGAGGAAGAAAAGGGCATCTCTACCAACAGCACTATTCAGGAGTGCTGCACAGCTGATAAACACCCACATTTGGACCATTCCAGGGTGACTGACACAGTAAATTTGAACATATTCCTAAAAAACCTTAAGGGCATTAAGTTGTTTTACAGAAGTCTTAGGCGTTTATTTCTACATTCGGACAGATCTGACAGATCTAAAAGCCCAGACATATTAAACCATTAATAAAACAGTTGCTTTTTGTAGCAGATATTTATGTCATAGCAGGAGGTATAAGGTAAAAAGAACTAAAGAGATAGACACTCCCAATCTTGCTAAACATTTAATCCACCTTTAAAGTGGTTGCATTATCCTTGCAATTAATTAAAATGACTTGAAGAATCTTAATTTAAAAAAAAAGAAAAAAGGAATTATATATCTATTTTAAGAAGACCTACCAACCACCACAAACACCTTACCACCTTCTCATTCAAAACCTCCTATGTTCAGTGCTGTTACAAGACCCACCCTTAAAGTTCCCTTATGATGCTCTGGCAACTTAAGCTACACCTAGGAAGCATGATGTCTCACCATGAAGTGAGCCCATACTGAGGCACACTGAGATGAAAAACTCCATTCGTAACATGGAGTAACGTGCTCTTTATCACCACAGAAAGGGCTCCCAGTTGCTGCAAACTGTCACCTTGTGGGTAAAGCCTTGCCTCTGAGCAAAGCTGCAGCTGAGCTCAGCAAAGCTCAAGGGAGCTAAACATGCCCCATTCAAGCCAGTTTCATGCCCTCAGCCAGGCACTGATGAGCCTCCTGAGCCCAAGAAATTTCAGATGTTCGCAACTCCTGTTGAAAGCAACAAGTCACACCAGTCCTGCATCTGTTTGGACAGGACCCACCCAGTATTAAACCAATATTTTTTATATATGAGTTTTGCGGTTTAGGCTGGAACAGAGGAAGTCAGGACTATAAATTACATCCTGAATTTTGCAGGCAGAGTGTAAGACTTCAAGAGCAGCCTAGCATGGGGTATAACTCAACAGAAGCATGCAAAGATGTATGAGGGCCTGGATTTATGCCCCATGTGTCCTTTACACAGAAGCCCCATGATGCTTCTGCTTATACGCAGGGGTAGCACAATGGAAGAGACACTTTCCAAAGTGCCTTCAAGTAAAACTGTTCTTCTTGACCCAGCGACCTGTAAGAGATGCCTTCAAGATGTGCCTCCTTGTTGGCCTCCCCTCTGATGTGGATCCACAAGCTCTCAGTAAGTCTGTCACCTGATCCACAGCAGGACTCTACATGTTTGAGCTGCACTTTTGCATAAAGCACAACCCCTTTACCATCTTTCCCACACATCCTTCATAAATTCCCTGCTCCAGTACTACTCCCTGCTCAGAGCAAAGAGCTACCACTTCTCCAAAGGGATTGGCACCATCAACTTCAGCAGCTCTCGACTACCACATAAAAGCCCATAAAAGCCAGTTTTGCTAGCAAAATTAACTGCCAAGCCTTTCAGATCTTCGCAGGCTCTTTGCAACCCCAGCAGAGGCTAAACACAACTCACTGGCTTCCCTGGATAAAGATCCAAAGGTCATGGATTTGCTTAAAACTACTTTCCTTTAACGGAACAGAAAGCAACTTCCCTTTTAGTTCAGCCAAACTAGCACATAACATCAAAAGTGGTTTTGGTACAAACCAAAGAGAAGTGTCTGAACACCGAAGAATTTCACTACATTTAAGCAGCAGGAGGCACTGGGAATATAGTTGTCATCATGAGATTAGAAGAAGTTTTCATAGGATGAAAATCAATCAATTTGGAGTGAAGGTGACAGTGTTACAGGTATTTTTTTCTGACAGGAATTAGAGGACAGAAGCAACCGTTCGCGTTCAGGCAGGTGTACTGCAACAGAAGGCTCTGCTGGGCTTGGCTAAACGAAAATCTCTGATGTCTTGAAGCATCTGCCATGTTGGCCAATCTTCAGTAAACATAGGCATCATCAGATCAGTGGCAGTCTGTCTGCTGATTTCACCCAAAACATTCACTTTTGCAGTTCTCCTTTACAATCCAGTTCAAACTAGCATTTCAGGTTCTACTTCTTTCACTCTTTTATAAATTTCAGGTGATTTCTTTGTTCTCTGAAACATTTGATCCCAGAGATTTTAAAACCCCACTCCCTTAAGTAAGCCAACACAAAAATCCTACAGCTTTTTAGGATTCTTACTCATAATAGCAAGTTCTAACTGAAATTCAGTAGACTTTTAACATTGAGTTCGTGGGTTTCTGGACTGCAGGTTCAAAAACCCACATTTGTAAAGCAATTCAGAGTTGCCAGAAGTATCAGATAATAATAATAATAATAATAATAATGAATGCCATAATATGTTGTAGCAAATGATCCTATATCTTGCTTATTTAAATTAGTGAAACTATCATTTCACTTAGTCTTTTCACTAAAAAAAATTAGGAGGCAGCCTCCCTCCTGATGCTCAGGAAGCTGAAGATATCTAGGTTTGACTTTAGTTACCCAGTGCCCAGATATCATTGCAATACAGAAAAAAAGCTGATGTATTAGAAAGAAGAACTCCAAAAAATAGGTCAGATATAAAAAGAAACCAGCATATATTAGGAGATGGAGATTTTTTTCTTTTCTTACATCACTTCAAAAGATTCATGAGAGGGTTTTTAAAATATCCTGATCTTAAAAATTATAATTTCATGTACAGTTCACAGCTCCTATCTCTTTTTCCATCTGTTACAGTCGGTTTAACAGGGAAAAAATTCCTTCAGTTCACAAGAAATGTGCAAGAATTTTTAGTAACAGATTATTCTTAAAAGCAAGTAGACAATGCCTGACCCAAACATTAGAACAGGGTAAATGGCCATGAAGTAAAATACGACAGGTTTAGCAGGAGATTGTGTGTTACTCTTGCATAACTCAAATTATTTGCTGTTTAAAACAATAAAACAAGCAAAAGACCTCCCTTCGCTCCTCTCCAAAGGAAATGCCAATGTCAGCTTTGTAATTGGCACAAAAATTTATCATTTTCAAGACCATTACATACAAGTCAGGCTGAGAAGTAGCAGAGCTAGTCCCAGAGTTAGTCCCAGTTTTCAGGGACACTGTTCTAATAATTTATGGGAAAACCCCTACAGGAAACAGTGGCCTCCAAGAGACCTGGAGAGGGATTTTGACAAGGGCATGGACTGACAGGACAAGGGAGAATTGCTTCAAAGTGAAAGAGGGCATGCCTAGATTAGATATTAGAAAGAATTTCTTTACTGAGGGTGGTGAGGCACTGGCATAGGTTTCCCAGAGAAGCTGTGACTGCCCCATCCCTGAAAGCGTTCAAGGCCACTTGGATGGGGCTTGGATCAACCTGGTCTAGCAGAAGGTGTCCCTGTCCATGGCAGGGGGGTTGAAACTAGATGATATTTAGGGTCCCTTTCAACCCATTCCATTTCTAGGATTCTGCGATTTTATGAAAATAAAGTGAGATGGATTAAATGTGACAGGATTAATTATTAGAAAAAAACAAATCTACAGCCAGCACCTCATATACTGCAAAACAACCAAGACAGATGTGCAGGAAACAAATACACCACATTTGCTAAAACCTAAACCATCACCAAGCATCAAGTGCTCGACTACATTCAAGCCGAGCAACATTCAGACAGAAGCTTTATTAGAAGAGATGAAGTACTGTACTTTTATCTCCTGGTAAAATAGACCGGTAAAATCGATCCTTCCTTTTCTTTTCTTCTGGGTTGGGAGGCAAAGGTTTTGAGCCATGGTTTAAAGTCCCGGGGTCTTTGCTTCCCGATCCAATCATAGTGCTGGTATTTCTCATTGGAGGAGCAGGCGGTTTGTCTTCTGTTTCAACTCCATTGTTAGACATCTTCAGTTGAGGAGGCCGTTACTGGGGATTGGAAAAAGAAAATAAATTAGAAGCCTTATTTATTTATTTGCTGTAAACTAGAATCACACACTGTCAAATCACAAGCAGGTATTTGCAGCCTAACCTGTAACCTCATATAGAATCATAGACTTTGTAAGGTTGGAAAAGACCTCTAAGATCATCGAGTCCAATCATTAAACCAGCACTGCCGTGTTCCCCACTAAAGCATATCCCCAAGTGCCACATCCACATGCTTTTTCAACACTTCCAGGAATGGTGATATCAACACAAACTCAGTGCCAGCACAACAAATTCTACTCAAGCTCCAAATGTTTTTTTCTGTTAACAAGACTACGTTCAAGCATTTGAATTTTAGATCACTGAGAAAAGCCTGTTTCAGGATACAGCCAATCCTCAAGCAAACCATGGAGCAGAAGTGCAGGGTGGGAAGGCAGAACAGTAAATACAAGGTAGCAAAGGGCAGGGATACCTGAGAGGAGTCAACAAGTTGATGAGTTCATAAGACCTCTTAGATGCATGGCAGTTTCCCTAAAAACTATGTCAGAAGGTTTGCATCAGTCTCCAGCACAGCACGATACAGAGGGACTGAAGTTTACACTCAGAGTTTTGATGCAGCTGCTCAGGCTCCTTTGCCACAAAGCTGCTGAACAGGTTCAGAGGTAGAGACGGTCGGGAAGCCATGAGCTGTACCCACATCACCTCAGATGTAGTGCTGTGGCCCTCAGTGGTCCCAAGCCAGCCCTGGCCTTCCTGCAATAACAGCACACTTCAGGGGCAACTCAAATTGCCAGAAAGTTGACAGCATTTTGTTCTGTTGGGAGAGTCAAACAAAAGTAGATCCCCAACACACACTTAAATCCGTAAGTAAATAATCCCTGCTGTGCAGATTTAAAGACGGAAGCTTGGGAACAGCAATAGATTATTCTGCAACAACTAGCTTGTTCCACCCAAATGAGATCAGCATTACTCCGGACACAGCCTGGCTGCAGCAAGATCCTTCTGGAAACTGCAATTCATCTGCACTATATTCTCATATAGTAAGCTGGGAGTTAATTGCAGAACAAAGCCGGAACAGTTTCTGTATGCGTGGAAAAAGCAGTTCAACGGCTTTACTAATTTCACAAGCAGTAAGGGAAGATGTTTCACTCAGGGAGAATTATGGGGTGGCAGAAAGTCAGAAGCAGCTTGCTCTCCACAGGTGAGAAGTCCAGTTACAAAGCCAAGGTCACTGCTGACTTCCAGGGAGCTGCTTTTCCATAGGATGGGCTTGGAGGAAACACACTGTCACACACCAAACAGATCCCACAACCATAACACAGTCCTATGACCACACGGCACCCAGCCAAAATCTTCTCCAGTCAAGCTACTGATGCTCAGTGTAACTGGCAAGACATGCTGCTCTCACCACTGTGGGGAGTTAAGGAAGGCAAACACTACCCCACGGAAGTCACTCAGCAGCAATGTGTCAGACTTTGCTGAAAGCAGAGTTTCCATAACTGTTGCCTGCCAAGCCATGGCTGGTCTGCAGCTCCACCTTCTCCTCCACTTAGTTGATTCCTAGTTTCTTCACACTCCTCAACAGGAGGGCCAGCAGTGTTGTACAGCCCGTAAGGCTTTGAGCAAGCCTTCACGCACAGGGAACTTTTTAAAAGCTTTGGCCCCAGCCTTCTTTCCTTTCAATATAACTGTGCAGTGGAATTTTTAGATGACAGAGTAGCTTTTGGTGTATTGATTTTAATGGTGGGACAGTTTCAGCATTTGGGAGCGGTGGTGGGAAATCAGCTGTGCATTTGTCTGGGTGTGTTCTAGCACGAGCCCTGCGTGTCCCCCACTGCTCGTGCTTCAGCCTCATGCCATTCTCCAGTATAAAATGGAGCAGAACTAAGTGACAGCTGGAGTGCCAGCCATTAAGTGGTTGGTGCAAATGAATACTCTCCCTGCCTAAGCAGTGGAAAAAAGTCTAAACTAACACCCAACTGACAAATTTGGCAGCCACTGCTGCTCACGTATCTTGTGTAACATGAAGATACTGGGCCTTGCTGACGGGCTTTGCACATCACAGTGTCAGTGCTTGTAACTGAACTGGCACAACTAAACCATTTGAAACGACGTAACCAGCAGTGCCACAAAAAAGATGCATTCTTTGCATTGATCCTATTTTACTATGAGAAAGCGAATTGCTGGGAAGGTGCTAGGAATATGCTGCAAGCAGGGAAGCAGAAGGAAAATGAATGTTAGCAGCTCTGTGCCTGCCAAACAGCCCTCCCCAGGAGCAGCACCACATTTGCTGCTCTAACACTCTTGTTTACCCCCACGGGGGTTTGAATAAAGGTGCATCCAAAGATTCTCCCACCAGTCAGACTTCCTGGAGCAGCAGGCACAACTGGGATGGAGACTGACTCATTTCTGGGTCCCTCTCCCACTGAACAGAGAGGTGAGTAGGTGAGAATTGATGCTTGATGCTGTCAAAGGCACAAAACTAAGCAGGGGACAGAGTAAAGTTTGCTTTGTTTACTTTGCAAGGTTTGTGTTGGGGAATGGATGCAACGTGAGACTGAAATAGAGCAGTATGTAGCTCCAGGCTGGAGAAAAAGAAGTGAGGAATAAAAAAAATACAAAAAAGAAACCAGATTACAGGCAGAGGTTGGCCTAGTGCTGGGCAAAGGAAAAAGAACATAAGCAAAAAAATCAAAAAGGGACACTAAGAAAAACCTCTGGATGGCAAGCATCCTCCCTCTCAGAACTGAGTGCAAAGGGACATCTGCTCTCAGTTTCTTCAATATAAGAGCGTTTTTTTCAAATCCCCCAGTCAGAAAGGATAGCACATATGTGAATTATGGTGTTACCGCAGGGCTAGAAACACTGACAGTACAAACTTGTTTATCTTACATTATTCCCTGAATGAGCAAGTAGCTGCTGAAAAGTTACAGAGTTTAACAAACAATATTGTTTCACACCTATTTGATAACTACAACTTTTGCACAGACAAAGCCTATAGAACATGGTCTCATTTTCCCCCCATTGCTCAAACTCCCAGACCTTTCTCTTCATCAAAGTCTTATGTTTGGAGTTACATGAGCTATTTAATCTGTTTGGAGATGGAGGGGTGAGAAGAATCCTTTGACCCACAAAATTAAGAGACTGGTGCCACAGAAGTTTTCCTCTGTAATAGTAGCACTATCCTAGAGGGCTCTCAAAAGCTTTGCGCCACTATATATTTAAAGGGAAATCCAAAAACCTGCTTACATGAGTCCTCCCACTGTGAGAGAGACATAGTCCATCCCCAAATGCAACATCATTAAACTTCTATTGACTTCAAAGTATGCGGCTGAAACCCTGTCCTGACAGAATTATACCCACATCTCAGAGCTGAGAGCCTGGAGCCCGGAGCCATGCCAAGTGGTGACAGAGGTGGCAGTCTCCTTCATTGTAGCCTAGCTGGCTGTGCAAATTCTCTTCTTCCAAAAATAATCTCCTGCCAATTCACATGTAAGTAGGTTTCAAACAGCCTCCCCCCATGTAGATGCTGCTCAAATTCAGAGCACCAGGCAACTGCTTCACCAGCGGGCATAATATCAGTGCTACGCCACTGAAATGAGTCACTCTGCTCGGCACGGTCCATCCCAACAGGAATGCAAAGCATCACTGGACTGAGTTATTTCCTTCTTCACACCAGCACAACTCTGCTTTGAGAAATCCATCTTACGTTTCCACAGTATGATTAAGTGAACAGTGGAAGCAAGGAAAGAGCACATGAACTTTTCAGCCAGAGTCAGACAAGGGAATACATTTTAGTTGCAGACGCAATTATTCTCAACTACTATACATATTAAAATACCAGCACTCAAACCAAACCCTGCAGACAGCACTAGCAAGGCAAAGCCATGATGTAGGACTATTGTTTCTGTAGACGTTTGGGAATACTGAAAGTTCAAGCTGTTTCAGCACATAGTACTTAGGGAAGGTTTTATTACATACTGCAATCTGTGACTGCTGTAAGTCAAGTTATGGTGGCCTTCAAACGCTCCCTGTCCCTCCCCATGAACTTTTGAAGCCCACTAGCTAAATCTGATTGCCCCAGACTCAACAGAGTCCAACAGCAAACCTGACGAACTCTCTTTTCACACCTACAAAACACTTCTGCAGAGAGGAAAGAGCAACAGACAACCATCACAAGGGGACAAGAGACTTAGGAAATCACTCGGCATTTCAAGGCAGAGCAAGCAGAGGTATGGAACAGAAGACAGCACCCACAAGTGCTAGCAGGGGCATCCAACAGTTCAGAGTACACACACATGCAAAGATCTGTCTTAGGATGATCACAGAATCATTAAGGTTGGAAAAGACCTCTAAAATCATCACGTCCAAGTGTTAACCCAGAACCACTGTGTTAACCACAAAACTATATTCTCAAGAACCACATCTACACATCTCGTGAATCATGAAATTAATGCCTAAACTACAGGTGTAAACTGTAACACAGGCACAGTCCCCTAACATAGGCACAGCTTCCTGAGATGTTCACCTAGCAGAGTGGGACCCCAACCTATGAAAAACATTCTGGCACTACTCTGTGTAACACACACACACACAAACAAAATAAAAAAGAGAGAACAGAGATCCTCTGTGTATGTAATTTTTCCTTCCAGTTAACTACATCATTTCAAACCTGCTGCTCCACACTGAACTATAAGTTTCTATCAAGCTGTCTTTGCATTCCTTAGCAAGACAGACAGATGACTGATGGCTAAAACAGAAAGCAATTAAAAAGTCAGAGAAGCTGAAACCTACGCTACAGTAGATGCCATAAAGATAACTACGTCCAATGCATACTAATTGCAGGAGTCAACATGGAAACTCATAAAAGAGCCATCTATAATTCATGCAGTCTGGCAAGGCAGTACTTGTAAGTTACTTACTACAACTTACAGATGAATAAACTACATTAAACAAGAGAGGGGAGAGGAAGATGTTCAGCAACTGCTCTTTCCTCTCTGCCT